GTTATGGTGACTGAGAATTAACAGGTTAAAACAGGCGTTATATGATAGTTGTTATGTTGGTTATAGTGGAAGATAATTTTCCTAGAACATTTACCAATACAATTGAGGAACAGAGCTTAAATAAGTAATGAGAGAACGATGTCACTTTAGTTTTCTACTATAAAAGTAAACAATTTTTTTGGCACTGATAATTCTCCTTTTCTAAATATTCTCATTGGTCCCCACCGTTTAATAAGCACTGTTTAATCTTAGCACTGTTGCATGTTTTTGTCCAAGAAAATTATTCTAAAATGAAATATTTACTTAGTAGATAACAAAATGGACATGTAGACTGACAGTAAAAAGAGAAAAAAAACTTTAAAAAATACCATAGTATGTAATGAGGTAATGCCACAATTGTGAGAACATGTTTAGTTATTATGAGAATGTTTTTAAAATGAGATTCCTACTCCTTGGATCTCATGCAGTACATGCTTTTACCAATATTTGGAAAAGGATGTATATTGTTTAGATCTTATATAGATTTATAAATATTCATATTTTTCCTTTCTGATCAGTGGCTTGTAACATTTCAAATAGCTATAATTCCTTCAAGTGAATGCCAGTGAATTTGTATTTTGGTTTGTTCAGGCCATCTGAATTTATTATGTGGGTTATGTTTTTGATAATAACAATACAAAATAATTTAATGACTCAGTTTCTGGAATCCCATGAATAAAATATGAAAGTTGAGTTTAATTTGCAATACTTTAATGAAGAGCTTCAGTGCATTTCTTCCTTCTGATATCTTTTAAAAGAAATCTAATTATTTTTTACTCATTATTATTATGAAAGCTGTAAAAGCCAGGTCATATATATTTGCATGTGTTTTATTTTAGTTTTTAATCATTTTGAGAGACTGCTAAATATTTCTCCAGGGACAATTCAAAGAAAAGAAGAAAACTAGGTCTGCTTTAAGCTAATTCTATGTAATATATTGAGCCGGCCTTTGAACTTGACGATCCTTGCACTGTCATGGACTGTTGGTCTTTTCATCTTCAGAAACCGAAGCTGCAAGAGCATACATTTGCTTTCCATTTGCAGCATTCTGTGCTTGGGTAGCCCAAAATGAAGTCAAGAAGATTGGGTTTTTTTAAGACTAGTAGTAACCAAGAAGCATATACAATATGCTGCTCCATTGTGTCAGATTCCAAAACCTTCCATCAAAGTAACCTTCAAATGCTTTATCATTGATTTTCAAACATTTGGAGGGTTCTATAAGTGTGACTGTGTGGTTGAACAGCTAAGATTTCATTGCGCAAATGGCTTGTGTATGTTCATTTAATGTCAACAAAATGGTATGCAGCTAAATACGTTTTTCATTTATTTTTAATAATTTTTATTTTAAAAACTACCAGTTTAATTTTGTTGTCACTATCCACCATGTACTGTTTCAAGCGTTTTACAATTTTTATTTTCTGCATGACAGTTCTGTGAAGCAACTGTTATTATTATTATCCAAATTTACAGATGGAAAATATAAAGTACAAACAGAGGTACGGTAAAATAGGAAGAAATGATATTTGAGGAGAAGTATATAATGAAGAACTGTTGGACAATTCTTAACAGCTCTCTTACTGTGTGTTTTCCTACTCACTCACGAAATGTTTATTAGTGCCAGCTATGTTCCAGGCACCATGCTAGAACCAAAAGACAGAGGTATAAGCACAGTGTATACCTTAACAGTGGGTACACATCTGACTAAAGCATTTGCATAAACAACCACCAGCCCAAATTCACATGTGCATTAAATAATTATTTTATTAATTCAGTAATATTTGCTGAAAGCCTATTCCCTACCAACTATTGCCTAGCAAACATAGTCAAATATCTGGCATTTTGACTAGATAGTTCTTACTATGTTTCTGTGTGTTGGATAACTAATAGGCATCTCCTATACAACCTTGTTGAAATGCCATAGATATTCCCATTCCTCTGCCTACAGATAGCTTCTTTTATAAGATTTATAGTGATGGCAAAAGAAGGTAAATACTGAAGAAGGTAAGGAGGAAAGGAAGCTGGAGGACCAGAAATACTTTCTAGTAGTTTAGACACAATCCTTTATGAGAAATAGTGAGAGTTGACCTTTTTCTCATTCTCTTCTTTTGAAGATGGATGCATTCGGTTGTACAAAGATGGACATTTAGTTTCTTGAACATAGTATATGTTTTATATTCCCTAGCAGTGGAGAAAGGTGTCTGCAGTGGAAAAATGCTGTTTTAGGGGTCAGTCACATAGATAAGATGTTAATTCACTACTCAATCACTTACCGGATGTGTGATTTTTAGCAACTTATTTAATCTCTCTGAGTTTCCTCAACCATGAAATGAAGGTAAAAATCACTAACTTGCAGTATAGGTGCTCAATAATTAAAATAATGTATATAAATGCTGCTCACCTATAAAATGATTGCTAAGATTAAATGAGATAATGAAAGTGAAGTGCTTAATAGAAGTTGAAAGGCAACACCCAATAAATGACTGTGGTTATTTTAATTGCTATCATCATCATCTTCATTTACTAGACAAGTGGTTCTGAGTGTTTTTAAATGCCACCTACATAGAATTATCTGGATGCTTGTGTAAAAAAAACAACAAAAAAAAAGAAAACACAAAAAAACAGATCTCCAGCCAATCCCTGACTAGCTAAATAAGAGTCTCGAATGGTTTCTTAGGTACATTAAATGAGGAAACCCAGTGTCCCTGGTTTTGAGGATTTAATTCTCTGTATAAAAGGGGTAGTATCTGGCTAACACAGTGCCTAGAACATACTAGTGACTGACTCAATAAATGGCGGTTTCTATTATATAATAAACTGTATATTATTATGTCTGAAAAGCCAGGGAGAATCTTGGTTAGGAGTGCTTTCATGGGAAATGATCACCTTCTGTTTCATAGATACCCTTTTTCATGTTTATATGCTACAATTGTACAAAGCATTTCCAAGTACCTAGTTTGATTCTAGGAGCTATTGCTCTTCTTTTGTCATTTTAAACTGATTTAACCAAAGGTAGGATTGTCATTGACAGAACTATTTCATAACTGAGAGGTCTGTACAAAGAACCAATGAGAAATTAGATTGCATTTGAAATGGAGGCCTGGACTCAGGGTTTCCATGGCCATATTAGAAAAGTAGAAACCATGGAAAAAGTGCAGTTATCCTTTGGAATAGTCACCTCATGTCTTTAATTGAGTAGAGACTATTAATGGGAAGAGGGAGCTGTTTTCTTAGAATTTGTTTATTGTGCTATTTACTTAATACCAGTAATGTACTTTAAGATTATGAGCCTGAAATTCACTTTAAAATCAGAGTTTTATGTGAACAAGGATACTCTAGCAAAACAAATGCCTCTAGATTACATCATGCTAATAAAGTGTTGGTGGTGTATAATAATCAGTTAAAACTCCAAGATTTTGATTCTGGTCTAGTTTATGGTGTTTGCAAATAAACAAGCTTTTTAAAAATCATTAACTGTTATCTAAAAGCCTATAGTGATTGTATTAGAAGTTCATATGCTCAATAACTCTTTAAAAAAAATCAATGTGATTCTGCATCACATGCATCACATAAAGATGCATGTTCTTATGAATAAGCAGAACTACAAATTTCTCAGAAAGTTCAGTCATGGCCTGAACTATGCTATGGTTGATATAGATTCTCACATTTAGAGTATCCTACTTCTTTGAAAAAATAATTTGTTTCCACTTCTTTTAGATACTGAATTCCCTTGCTTTGTAGGAAAGAGAGATGGTTTATTGAAAATCATCTGGCGCTAAGAGTAAAAAAATTGATATTCTAGCTATCCCTGTCATATTAACTAGTCACATGTTTAAAGGCAAAGGACTTAAGCAGTCTTTTTAATGTATTTTGTTGGTTTTGAAATTGAAGGAGCAATGCCCATTACCCCCTAGATTTGTAAAAATTCAGCTATCCAGATGCAAGAGTTCTTTGAAGACACAAATGTAATCTCTCTTCATATGTAGTATATACAAAGGCAATGTATGCTTTTTATTTGAGAGATTTTTGAGGATGAGTTTGTAAAATATGGTTAATATTCACTGGATTTCATGGCATGCTTCCCTGCATATTGCTGTTTATAATTTAATATGTGCTTATTTATTGCAGTTATATGTTTACTTACTAGTTAGGATTATATGCATGCTCATTTGGTAAAATTCTACTCTTCCCTGTGGGTTGAAAGTATCATTATAACAGAGAGTATGTCTTTATTATACAAAATCCTATCCCCAGTCACTGTGCATTGAAGGTGTTTGATAAATAATTGTTGAAGGCATGGAAGCATGCTTCCTAAATGCAATGTGTATGTATAATGTATACTATAAATTTAGACCTACCCCTCAAAACTGTTGGAGTTAATGTTTTGACTTTTGTTTTGGAAAGGTTTTATGAAACCAGATATGTTAAAACATCAAATTTTGAAATAATATATATGAATTATAAAAAATAACTCATTTCTTCATAATCACTTCTGACTTAAAACCCTTGCATATTACAATTTAAATATTTTATATTGGGGGAGAGTTTAACAGAATTCAGCCCTACACTGATAATCTAAATGATTTTTCTCTTATTTTATATGAGAGTAGAGTCTAGGATTATGTGATAACATTATGTGATAATGTGATAATGTTTGATAAAATGAGATTTGTAATCAGATAAACCTGGGTTTAAGACCCAACTGTACCACTTCCCAGTTGCAAGAGAATGCATGCTGTTAATTTCTCTAAGCTTTCCTTGTCCCACGTGGGCCTAATTATACTTCCCTAATGAGATTGTTGTGAGGATTAAATGTGGTAATAGACATCAAATGCTTAGTATGGTTCCTAACACATAAACGCCTTAGCTGTAGTTTTATATTATTTATATGGTTCATATTCTAAACAGATATTCTTTCTGTTCTGTGTATTTGTGTGTGTGTGTGTGTGTGTTTGCTTTTACAGATGGATACACAACTGACGACATTGAGTTTTACTGGCGTGGGGATGATAACGCAGTGACAGGAGTAACAAAGATTGAGCTTCCACAGTTCTCTATCGTAGATTACAAACTCATCACCAAGAAGGTCGTTTTTTCCACAGGTTTGTATCAGGGAGGAGGATTAAGGGAAAAGAATGTTCATCCATATTTTGTTAAAAAGAAAAAAAAAAACTCACTTATATCAGAGCTGTGGCCCAGGGCATGACAGTGACTCTAGATATCTTAAATCTGCTGAAAACCCTCAGTTTCCCATCAAGCATTTTGCTCCATTTGGAACCAATACCAGTATTTTCCAGAAGGCTCCACCAGCAGAGCTGAGAGGGTCATCTCTACGTCTCTCATTTGCCACAGAAGGAACTAATTTTAGGGACAGAGACAGAAATGAAGACCTGAGTCATAAGTGTCCCCAACTTTATGCCTCCCACAGCATTGATCTTAATCCTTTGAAACATACTGGGGAGAGCCAAGTTGCAGTTCATTCAAGTCTAACCACAATGAAATTCTCTATAGACAGTAGGAAAATTTCACATTTTCCTCAAAGGGTAACAATTTCTTTATACAGTTTTACCTCCTGTTGAGGCTAAAAGCTGTTTCAGATGTTAAGAGTATCCTAATGCCTTCATCGTCTTTACCTGTCCAGCACTGAGATTTTAGACTGTCACACTGGATTTCATAAGCACAATTTTACATTTTTTTGAAATAGAAAAGCCTCAGAAAGTAATTATTTGCTAGACACTCATTTAGGGGAGAAAAATAGTAAACCCACAGTAATATCCTTCTTTATGTTTTTCTTATTGAAATGAATCCTACAGGCACAGAAATACTAATACTGTAATTACCCTTTCACCAAGGATTTGGATACTTTGTGTCCCTGTAAACCACTTCAAGGAGGCCGTGTGACTTAGTAAAAAATGCCAAGTTTCCTAGAGCTTAAAAAATAAGATAACAACAAACAACAGAAACTTTTTCCTAACTTTAAGGTCCTCTAAATCCATGAAACTCTATGGAAATGTTCCTCCATAAAATATTCTTACTTTCACATTAAGATACTTGGCTTAGCCCAAGAAGACTAGTCAAGGCTTTCTGTCTTCTCCCTATTTATCAATGTGAACTTTTTATATTTTAAGGCTGTGCTGTGTTATTTATCTTGTCTAAAGAGTAATTCCACAGATCGCTGCAATCAAAGGACCTAGATTTAGGTCTCTGGCTCTTTAGTTGTACCTGCCACAAATATTGCTCAGAAGAAGTGATTCTCTACCTTTTGATGGGTCAGAGGTCCCTTTAGAATTCTGATGGAAACGATGAAGCTATTAAGAAAAGGAAAGAATGCATACACATAAAACACATAAAAACCTACACAATCTTGCAGTTCTTGAAGCCCTGCCATGGATCACAGACTTAAAATGCATCCTGTGGCTTGGCAAGCTTTCTTTTACTCAAAACATGCAGCCTTGTTCTTGTGTAAGAAAAACTTAGAGGATGAACTTACTGAGAAATAATTGAGAGTGTGAACAAAGGAACTGCCCCACATCATCTTGTCATCACAATTGCAGAGAATGAGTGTCTTTGATCCAGTATATGAGGCTGAGCAGGGAAGACCTGGAATTCTTTTAATTACGGGTGAGTCCAAGATGCATTCCACACAGTAACTCCTTCTAATTAAAAAGTCACTGCTCACAGACTACTTTTGCAGAAGAAAGTGTCCTTTACCAAGAGCTGAAATTGAATTTAAGGATGATATGAATACTGTTTATGCACCTTTAGAGAAAGGTGTCCTATAAATGTTGATTGATAATGACGATGTTCTAAAATTGTCTTCCTAGGTTCCTATCCCAGGTTGTCCCTCAGCTTTAAGCTTAAAAGAAACATTGGCTACTTTATCCTGCAAACGTACATGCCTTCCATCCTGATTACCATCCTCTCCTGGGTCTCCTTCTGGATTAATTACGATGCCTCAGCTGCAAGAGTGGCATTAGGTAGGCTGTTTTCCAACTGCTCATGGAGTTTGAGTCTGTGTGTGTGCTTGAATGTACGTGCATGCACGTGCTTCCTTTATCCTGAAATTTATGATGCGCCATGAGACTGAGCCTTGCACGTTACAAGAGTATAGCCATGAGACTTTGGATGATCTGCTTCAGCATTAAATCAGTTAAACACAAATTAAAACTCTTCCGTGTCAGAATTAGTTAACTGTATAGCTGTTGATAATGAAATTAGTTGCATCAGTTTGATATTTTTATTGAAACATATTTCATGTAGTACTGCTTGCATAATTGCTAAATTTGTAACTTTGCTTCTTTACCTTAGAAAAGTGCCCTTTCATTTTGTTTTGTTTTTTTCCCTTTCATTCACCCCCCCCCCATCCCCGAGAAAGAGACAAGGAGATTTGTTTAGTGAATGGATAAGCAGGAATAATTCTAAAGTGGTATTAACATATTGGAGTAGCATGGCTGAGACAGGAGACAGCAAAGTGAAAAGTTGGGAAATCATCCACGGCATTACTCATCTTATGCCTGATTCTTTTTCTAACACCAGAGGAGGAGGACAAACTATATTTCATGAATATTTTAACTCCAGATGAAACAAATATAGGGCCTTTCACACATCTTTATTATTTTGTGTTCCATTTTCTTTAAAGTGTTGAGTCTTTAAATTCTATACCATGAGACCTCAATTCAATCATTACTTTCTTAGAACAGTCATTGGTTCATTCAACAAATATTTGTGGAACACATAATATGAGCTAACCAAGCTAAGCAGTGGAGATGCAGCAGTCCTCTCCAAAAAGTCATATCTAGCAGAAGATAGACAATAAATATAATAACCATGCAAATTCTATAATGTGGCAAATCTATATAGGGAAATAAATAAGGGAAGGGGGCTTGGATATGCCAAGGGTGACGCTTAGAATAATCAGGGCAGATCTCACTCAGAGGTTGTCCTGAGAACAAAGACTTAAAGATGAAGAGCCGTGTAGATATCTGGGTGATAATATTCCTGGCTACTACAAAGACCCTAGGGCAGGAACAAGCCCAGCATTGTCAGTGGGAGGGCAGCGCAGAGTGAGTTCAGGGGAAGTAGTGAGGATAATATTGGGAAAAGAGGACCAAAAGACCACAAAGGGGTTCTTCAGCTATGGTAAAGGCTTCGCTTTTATTCTGAGTGAAGTAGAGAGCCATTGAGCAGAGAAGTGACATGATTTGATTTCGGTTTTAAAGAGATCGCTTGGACTGCTGTGCTAATATTAAATTATGGTGACTCAAGGGTGGAAGAAAGAAGGAATGACCTTCCAGACAGAATAAAGTCCCTGTGATATATACTCTTACAATACCATAGAACTCCCATGTGTAGACCAACCATAGTCATAATTTATATTTATTTAGTTATGTGGTATCCTTTTCTCCCACAGCACTGAAAGATCCAGTGGGGAAAGGTCCATACCTGGTTTTATAATCTGGTGTCTTGCATAGGGGAGTGGTGCTTAGTAAATATTTTCTGAATGAAGGAATCACTAAAATTTGGAAATATCCTATTTTTCCAAAGTTAAAATCTGTTATCTATTTTCTATCTATTAGAAGAACAATAATTAATTTATTGACTTTTTAAAAGAAATTTTTAAAATGTCTTTTTTATGTGAGCAATGTATTATTAGGTTCAGAAATACTTTAAGATGAGATTTCGGTAGGAAGTGAAATCAGCATTGACAGATTTACTATATACTCATGGTACAGGATAATCTGTAGTTGAACTGATGAAGAAAAAAATGAAACTGGAAAATGTTTCAAAATGATTACTATAAAGAAGACATAAAAAATATAAGACACTTATATCTAAAGCAAGGCCAAGGCTTTTCTGGGCATGCTCAGAATCAAATGTTCACATTTATTTTTTCTGTAGTTGTTTTATGAGGATGTATAAAAATGAAATTAAAATTACAATATTATCAGGGGAGAAAATTAAATCAGAAAACTATGTCTCCTAAAAAAATCATAGAAATGAGGTTTAACTTTCAGGAAGTGGTGTGGATAGTGTTTAAGGGTATAAGTTCCTGGTTAAGAAAGATTCCAGTTCAGAGACAACTCTACAACTTTCCATCTGTGGGATCTTGACCCCTGAACTTTGTCTATTTTCACATCATTATTTTAGTACCAAGCTGAACTTTATCATACTCAGGACTCTGGGCTCACTGTGCTGTTACCTTCAACTATTCCCCACTCTCAGAGGTACCCCCACTCAACTGGATGAACAATTGTAGCCTGACCAAGTATGGCATTTCCCATGAAGAATCTTGAAATACTTCTGTGTTATTTATCTGGGCATTGTATGCCTAATTATCCAATCGGGAAACAGGAGGACTATGACTCCTGCTTCTCCATCCGATTTCCAAATATTTATAGTCCTTCATTTCTATCATCTGTCTCGTGTATCCATTGCTTTTGGCACCATTGCTATTGTTTTATAATAATTCACTTACTCTTTATCATTTATTTGGAGTATTCTGAAAATCTCTTCACTGTTATTCCTGCCTTACGCGCTTCTCCCCCATCCTCCACACTGCTGCCCGAGTGATTGTCCTAAATACAGTTTGTCCACATGCCTCCCTGCTTGAAGCTGGCCAGTGCTCCACATTGCTTTCAATTTTTAGTTCAAACTTCCCCTTAGGCTGTGTGTATGTGGCTCCCTATTATGAAGCCCTTATTTAACATCCACTTTTCTCATGATTCTTCCCATCATGTTGTGTAATGTACCCACAGTACAGTGGTTTTCCTAAGATCCTTTTAATGGGCTGTGTACTGTCCCCCAGAGCCAACCTTTGTATAAAAAGCTCTTTCCACCACCAGTGCCCTTAGGTCTACCAAAACTTTTGACCACTCTGTCCCTGGTTGCCTGAATAACTCTCATTCTTCAGGATTCACCTCGAAAGTCTCCAATTCCCGATCTTTTCCCTGAAACATCACGGAGCTGAACTAGGGTCTTCCATATATTAATATTCTCAACTCTCACCTTAAACACGTGTCTGTCATAGCATTTAATTCAATTTCTAGCCCTACTCTGGATATATAACTATAAATATAAAAATATAGTTAAAGGAAATGTTCCAAAGTGATCAATATTTGCTCTAAGTTAATGTATGCCTATCTTCTTAGCCTATGATAGGGCTGGTATATAATAAATGTCCCATAAATATATTATAGCCTATACGAATGAGTAAATGAGTACAGTTAACCTTTCCAGCTATTATGAGAGAAGAAAGAAGATAGCAACGTTATTACTTTAACACTCTCATTTTTTTTTTTTTTTTCAGGAATCACAACTGTCCTGACAATGACCACGATCAATACCCACCTCCGGGAAACTCTTCCTAAAATCCCGTATGTGAAGGCCATTGACATGTACCTGATGGGGTGCTTTGTCTTCGTTTTCATGGCCCTTCTGGAATATGCTTTGGTCAACTATATCTTCTTTGGAAGGGGCCCCCAGCGCCAAAAGAAGGCAGCTGAGAAGGCTGCTAGTGCCAACAACGAGAAGATGCGCCTGGATGTCAACAAGGTAAATTTGGATGGCAAGCTCTCCTTGCTTTTTAAGCTCATAGAAGAATGCTAGCAATATAGGTCAATGGCCTTGTTTAGCAAATAAGGAAACCAAGGCCTTGGGGAAGGGAATGGTTCAGTTTCCCCAAATCACACAGATAATTAGTGATGGAGGCACAATTAGGGCCCAAACTCAAGATGCAAGATTTGGATGTCCTTTCTGCTCATAGTAGGGTTGCCCAAACTTCAGTTATCTTTCTGAGAACCACTTTTATAATTTTTTTTCACATATGAGTATAACATCTACTGTTATGCACTTTATATTTCTTTAAATTTACTCATTTTATTTAAATTGATTTAAAAAGTAAACTTCATATAGGTCCAGTCAGTATTACTTGCTAGACAATAACCTTAATAACCTTAAATATAAATAAATAAATACCATGCTATTAAATTCTTGGTTATGATAGAGGCTGGCTCTTGATATGAAATCTGCATTCTGCTTGACTTTAAAAGGGAGATAAGCAAGTACAGAGAGATATTACAGACCCATCAGCAACAAACTGAGACTTTCTACTTGAAGTAATCAGACAGAGAGAAGTGTAGGGCAAAAAAGAGAAATAACTTTCCCCTTAAGTGACACTTAATGCTGTGCACATATACCACTTATCATTGCAGTACTGGACTATACCAGGCCACCATCTTGCTTAAGTAGGGCATAATCAAAGAATTCCCACACGGTTTTAAACTCAGTTTTTTCCTTAAGTCAGTTGTTTTCAACCTTGGGTTCCCAGTGGAATGACCTCCAAAGAATTAAAAATAGTTAAGCCTGGTCCCCTTTCCCAGAAATTCTGATTTGATTGTCTTAGAGTATGACTGAGCATCATAATTTTTAAAAGTTCCCCAGGTTACTCTGATTTGCAGCCAAGTTTGAGAATCGCCACTTTGAGGCATTCAATGGCAGTCCTGGTAGAGTTATCCCTCTTTACTCTCACAATTAACTTCACCTGGCTGCCTGTTGTAGAACTCTCTGCACTAATAGAAAATATGTGTCTATTTCCCCATAGTTCAAATTTAGGCTCTTAGAAATAGGCAAAGAAAATAAAGTCTGGTTTTAATATTTCCCCTAAATCATGTTTATACAGTAGTGTGTAGTGTGATGGATTCAGTAAATATAGTGTGAAATTACATAGGAAACTATAATTTTGTAATGAATATTTTATAAGTAAAAGTATATTTGGCTATAATTTCCCATTTTCCCTGCCTATGGCAAACTTTTGGGACACCCTGTGGTCAATAGTGATGGCACTTGGAAAACAGTGATATTTTTAAACCATCTGGAATTATTAACCATAATGATAATTGGTTATTTCATTGGCATTTTAACATTTCTAATTTCAAGTTAATTCTGAGGATAGCACACCATAAATAATCTCTACCATTGGTTTTTATTTGAAACAAACCTTATAGAAGCTTCTAACTCAGTGATGTTTTCCACATATCCATAGGTCTGATAGTTGGTTTTGGACTATTCTCTAATCAAAGGCAATTCTTTCTCAAAGATGATATTCAAATGATGCAAATTTTAAATATGGCCCTTGAAAGCCAAAGAACCATGGATCTAAGAAATTGTCAATTTCTTTCCCATGCTGAATATTTCACTTATTGCAATCTGTCAATAGATTCCAACCTTCTATATGGCTCTTTCAGGCTGTCAAATGAAAGAGTGCCTTTTCTAATTTTCTTGATATGGTAGTCTTAGTAAAGAAAAGGGAATGAATAAATAAACAATACTATCTCATAGTACTGCAGTTTGAAATGAGTCTAAATCAATTGCATAATGTAAGGCTGACTTAATAAGATAAGATAACATATGATCTCTTTTCACTTTCATCTACTCTTTTTTTTTTTTTTTTTTACCAATTTGCATTTAAATGATAAATTTAAGGCCTGAGGAGTGGAAATTTTATACAAACTGAGCCTGGAGCGCTTCAGATGGTTTTAAATTGCATTGTACTGAGATGGAGGTAGAGAAAGGTTCACTAGGCAGGTACTCCCTAGTGGTGAAAGTCCATCCTCTTGGCTACAGGTAGATCCACAAATCAAGTGAGAGATAAAAAAAAAAATACCTAGAGATTTTCTAGTGCAGTAGTTCTCAAAACAGGACAATTTTGTCTCCCAGAGGATTTTTGGCAAGGTCTGGAGACATTTTTGGTGGTTAAAACCCAGCATAAAAGGTTAAAGGAGATCTACATTGCGTTCTGATTACGTATCTAGTGTGTAGAAGCCCAGGATGCTGCCAACCATCCTGTGGTGCACAGGATAGCCTGCCTATAACAAAGAGTCATCCAGCCCAAATCTAGCTCTCTGGTTTCAAGCACAAGAAATTGAAGCCTCCCAAAATAATATGCTTGTCCTGTTCTGAATACTCTTTGACAAAATTGGTATCTCCATTTTCTTTGACCAGCATGTGTAAGGATCAAGACATCAGGAGTTATGATTTAGCACAGTGGCTCTGAACAAATATTTTGGAGTCAGTCAAATTCAATATTTACCCTTCCATTTAATAGTTGTACGACAACAAACATAAAAAAAAAAAAATCAGCCTCTCTGACCCTTCAGAGAGACCCTTTCCTCATCTGTAAAATGAGGTTAATTCCTCTCTTGTAAGGTTATTATGAAGATAATAGTGATAATGTGTTTTTCGATTTTACCCTCTCATTTAATAGTTGTGTGACAATGAACATAAAAAAAAAATAATCAGCCTCTCTGACCCTTCAGTTTCATATATATGACCTTCATATGACCCTTCAACCTCATATATAAAATGACCCTTCAACCTCATATATAAAATGACCCTTCAACCTCATATATAAAATGAGGTTAATTCCTCTCTAGTAAGGTTCTTATGAAGGTTATAGTGATAATGTGTAAAGAGGGCAACATAGTTCTCAGTACATGGTAAACACTCAGTAACTGGTAAATATTAATTAAATATTAAAATATTAGTCATTATTAGTTTTTTTAAAATAAAATTTATCATCTCCAGACTGGTGATGCTTCCTTGTATCTTTTACGTGCTCTGTTAGCATGTAGGATGCAATTGTACCCTTAAAGGAGAGTGTTATTTAGAGAGGAATATTGTATGTAAGAAGTTTTAAAGTCAAATCAAGGAAATCAAAAATGAGTTTCAGCTGTAAAAATCTATGGCAAACCAACTATGTCAAATTTTATCAATTATTTCTTAGGACAGAATACCTACAAGCCATTTTGACTAGATTAAAACAAAACAAAGTGGCCAGCTAACATTCTAGATTCCCACAATTTCTTTTTTTTACCAAGTATGAAAGGTTAGAGGAGATTCACGTTGCGTTCTGATTACACAATGCTTTCTTTTGTGTCCGCATATTATGAATAATGCTGGTCTATTTCTTATCAAGAATGTCCCTTCTTTTCAACTGTAATTCTGAAGTTATTTTTGTTTTTCAAAGATCAGGCACATAGAATCAGCTAAGTATTGTTGGCTGCTCTGGAAAAATCAGTCACTAGGAGAGGGATTGAATTTTTCACCTTCACTTGATGGTTTCCTAGGAATGGAAGTAGTGTGTCAGATCATCTAAAGTGATTTTTAAACTGTGCTTTGTCCTGAGGTCAGGGAGGGGTGAAAATGGGATGCTTGCCCATGTTGACTCAATGAGTACTTCCACATTTTTCCATTCTCTCTTGTGTACTAATTTCCCTTAAGTTTTTGTTTTAAGAAGGGAATTTATAGCTCTTACAAATAATTCCTGCCCTGTCATTTGATGGATGCAAAAACTAAGCCTCTTGGAGAAGGTGCAATAGCCAAGATTGCATAGCAAAGTTAACAAATATTCTGGGATGTGACCTGGGTTTTCCTGTACATATCCAGTGTAGATTCCGCTGTGCTAACCAATGAGAGGAATGAAATAAAACTTATAAGCTGATTCCACATTAGTCCATGTATTCAGCTCAGTTTCTCTGAAAAATCCCATCTACCTGCACATAAAAGTTCATAAGCAAGTGTCACTTAAACAGTTGCCTTCCCATGACAAATTAAGTTGTAAAGTACTAACATTTTAAAAAACAAACATCAAGCCAACGTGAGGTCTACTGAATAATTTTTTCTCTGGAGTAGTTAAAAAAATATAATTTCTATCCTAGTGTTAAGAGAGTCCTTCCTGTTATCCTTTGCATTCTTCTATTTGTGCATGCGTGTGTGTATGTGTGTGTATGTGTGTGTGTGTGTCCTAGTAGAATTTGCCTTTGATTGATTTCACCCACTATTCTTGCTCAGAATTCAAATTTTCAACTCTCTTTATTTTTCTTTTAAGCTTGATTTTGTGTCTCTGTTTACTTTTCTGCTAATTACTGAGTATATGCGTACTTGAGAATCTAGTTATTTTTGTCTATTCATCACCTTGGTTCTTGCATATCTGAAATGCCTCCAATATTCCTATTGCATCAAGAAACCTAAAACCACCAGTTTTCTAAATAAAGCTATACCAAAGAGATCTCCATTGGAGGGTGTTCTTTATTCTGCATTCATGAAATTCTGTGTGTTGTCTTTATTCATTGTGTCTATTCTTTTGTTATGCAAAGCCACTAAGGTTCTTTCAATCTATTTATTCCTAGTGCCTGGAATTTGATTTTTTTAAAATAATACACTTATGAAAAAACAACTTATTAGAATTTTATTCTCTGTTAACATTGGTCTGGAAAGACCAATGTTTTCTAAAGACCGGTAGCATTTATCTATATCCAATTTACTTTGACCATCAGTCCTAATCCAGTGGCATCAGTCGACTTAATTAGCACGTTCTCTACTTTGTCTTCCAGATTTTTTATAAAGATATTAAACAAAATGGGACCCAATATCGATCCTTGTGGGACCCTACTGGAAACCTCTCCCCAACTAGACGGACTACCAATTACGATTTCTCTCTGTATACGGTTAGATAGCCAGTTTTTAATCCATTTATTTGTATTTCTGTTGGAGCCAATTTGTTTAGCTGTTCCCTTTAAAATAATGTATGGTGTCTTTGCAGATAACCTATGGACATGTATCCCACAGAGACGTGGGGACAAGTTAAAATTTTTTTGTGAGGCTCTAGTTGGGTTTTCCCAGGTTTGTTTTATCGATATAGCAATGGTGAGCCTAAGCCTTAGTTTCAATTCAGGAATTGTTGTTGTGCTAGAGAAAGAAACTAAATGGGCCATTTTGAGATTGCTTTTCATTTATACTGAGAGGATAGAGTATCATTATTTGTTAGTTTTGTTGTTTTGTCTGATTTGGGGAGCTTGTTTGTTTATTTATTTAGGTTGAGTAGGTGGAAAATTAGACATTTATTCTATTGGTTGACTCAGAATTCAGGAACATATTTAGATTATTTGTGTCCAAGAATATTATACCTGCATCAAGTCCTTGTTGGTTTATTATTTATTTTACCAATAAGTAGTTTTTGGTAGGCCTGGCACTATTATAATGATAGATAAGGGGCAATAATTTAGACTGTTTCTTATCAAAACTCTTGACTTAAGCGAACTCCAATTTTAAAAAAAGCCTATTTTTGGCTAAGACTTACACTTTATTTTCTGAATCCTCATGTTTTATGATACTAATTCACAAATTGTCATTTGTATTGTCCTCCAAATTGGAGAAGGAGGAGGAAGATAGATGATAATTGTTACCATTCCACTTTATCTTCCACTATTTGTCCAACTCCAGTTTTTAAATTTCTATTTCTTGCTAAGGCAGTGAATTATATGGAATGTTGGTGAATCTTTCCTATGAGGACTTGATGCCAGATGAGCTTCCATTATGATATCTTCTACGTGTCATGCTCTTCCTTAATTTTATTGCTCTAACTGCAGAGCCCTTGCATACCTCTTTGTTGTTGCCTTTGGGGTAGGGGGCTGGTATGCATAACCTGTTGAATGGCTACTTTGTTTTGGCATTGGGCATTTTATTACTTTTCAACTTTATTACTTGTTCTGTTATATAGTAACAGTCTCTGATAAATGGTAATAGATTCCAGGAGAAGAGATGTTTGAAACATTGTTAATCACTACTTCAGTCCTAATCCCCTAAACATCCAACATCTATTATGTCTGTGCTCTCAGGTTACATCATTTATGTTGTTGCTGCTGTTCTTATATTTTTTTAACTCTTGTTGAGATTAAAGTAGACTGATTTGATTGGGCATCATTCTGAGTAGACTGTTAATCATGCAAAAGAAAACATGTTTGAAAGTTGGAGTTTGGATTTATGATGAAAATCATTGAAGAATGTTGTATTTTTCAAAACAAAAATCAAAGCATGCTGTGTGATTGGTCTAATGACTGGGTAAAGTCCCATGAAAATTCATAATATCCTCAGACCATGAGTATATTTTGAAAAAAGCGTGCGCAATTGGTGAATTAAATTTTTCAGTTGATGAGTTGAAAGAGTTCATGCTCTCTGATACCATATTTTAAACCCTTGTTGGTCAAGAACTCTTCCTCTATTTTATAAAATATTATGTCAAAGAGAATGCTAATGAAATTGAATTTTATACATGGATATATGAATTTTCATGTTTTCTGCTACTTTTCTCTGTTGGGTGTGTCTTTACTCTGTCCTTTGAGTCCTCTTTTAAGTTCATACTTAGACTATAAGACAAAGACTAGTATTTAAAAGTCCATATAATGGGCTCTCTATTAAACTTGTAACCTGTATAAGCATCAAGATGTATGTAATAATCCCAAGAGGCACTGGGAAGATTGATAGATTTTAGAGTCATGAACTGGGTTCACATTTAGGCATTGTCTTTTATAAGCTGTGTGACATTGGACATATTTAACCTTTTCCAATCTTTAAGTTCCTCAACTAAAAATAAAAAACATTAATTTCTGTCTTATGAAGCAGCTGAGAGGATTAAATGATATAATTATTTTAAGGTCCTTTCTCAGTACTAGGAAAAGAGCATTCAATTAATACTTTAAATTATTCTGGAGATCTTGGCAGTCAGTGTATATCTTTTTAGGTTTTTAGGTCTATGACTACCTTTATGATTATAAAATTAATGATCATTCTTAAAAATATGTGCAAAAGTGAAAACCACCTGCGCATAACCGCGTAGCTATAATCATTGCTAACATTGCCTTCTATTCACGTTTAGTGACATACTTTTATGTAAATAATCATATACTACTATTGTATGTATTATTTTTTCCACTTACCTTTTCATATGTTTAAGTATAACTATACTTCATAGCTATAAGATATTTAATTGAATATAATTTATTCAATACTCATTATTTGTTCAATATTTATCATAATTTATTTAATGAGCACCTGTTATTAGATGGTTATATTGTTTCTAAGTGGTTTTCCATTATAAACAGTCTAAAATAAGCATGCTGACATATTCACACCCTATTGTTTCTAATACATTTCTTAAAATGGTATTACTGGGTCCAAAAGTATGTGCCTTTAAAATGGTGATATATATTGTGAGTTTTTTCCCTAGAGAAGTTCTGCTGTAGTTGTTTACAGCACTGAGAGTGTGGCAGTACACACGTATACACACAAACACATACACACACAATGCATGCACACAAACCCTGCCCCCACAATGAGGAAGAAACATGAAACAGAAAACATGTTTAAAAATGCCCACTTGTGAAAAGTGTTGGCAACTTGGAGAGATGGAAGAATCCAAAAATCCAGTGTAGTTTCTCTCCTCTCCATCCAAAAGCCATAGAGACAATAGAAAAACAAAACAAAAACAATAAACACCAAACTCAAATTGAGAGACTGCAAAGAGGCAAAGATGCATAGGTAGGGCCAGTAATCAATGCACGCAGACTCCAGAGAAATCTACCCAAGCTATCTTTGCACGAATAGCAAAACCCAGTAACAGTGTCTCCATCAAGATGAAGCATCTGTCTAAACACAGAAACAGCGAGGCAACAATGTGAGAAAACCACCACACGGGGAGGGAAGAACTCAATGTGCCTAAGACCTATGATGGCCCTTTTATTGATATATATTCCAGGATAAACAAAAATTTTCCATAACAAAATTTTTTCTCACCAAAAATTAAAAGAATGTATGAAACAAAAGGTCAAGCATGAGATATTAAATAAATGGAGATTAAAAGGGAGAAAATGAAGGCAAAGCAATCTGTACAGAAGCTAATAAATCAATCTAAAACAGTAAGAGAATCGATGTGGTAAAAAAAGAAAAAATCCAAGTTGTATAAACTCATGCCAAATGCAGAGGAAAAAAGATGTAGAGATAAAAATCACTTAGGGGAAACATAATAAATATACAGGACAGGTACCATAGGTTAAACATTCAGAACCTTAATGTTAGTGAAGTATAGAGTGGAAAAAATGGAATAGAAAAAAATATTTTAGTCTAATGCCAGTAACTAATTATAATGATGATAATAATAAACACTTCTTGAATGTCTATTATATGTTTATATGCTTAGATACCTACATATATTTTGTTATTCCATGTAGTCTTCATTATTACCCCATGTTGTTTATAGTTCTAATTTTATAGATGATGAGCTGAGACCCAGAGAACATTATTAACTTGCTCAAGGTTAGATAGCCAAGCAGTGGTTAAACAGAAAATACAACTACAGAAGCTTCTTTCTTAATGATACATTATATATTTGTACATCCCTGTAATTAAATTCATTAATCCCATAATTGTATTGTGGATATGTATAAATTCCAAAAGAACACACTGAGTTCCAAGATAAAAATTATGCAATCTTGTTAATACCTTATTATATTCCTCTGAAATCACTAAACTTTCAGTAAGAAAAAGTGATTGACCTACAATGAAGAGAAAAGAGAAAAGATAGGTATCAAACTACTGTATAGCAGTATCAAACTTCATAAGACAGCAGAAAAATGTTTATAGGTTTCCAAGGGGGAGAATATGAAACCTAGGAATATAATTATCAGTATAAAAACAAAAGAAGGATACTCTGTCCTAAATATATAAAGTTTGAGGGACTATAGCATCCATGAGTCTTTATTTTTAAGAAATAATGTCTTAATACAACAACCTAGCACCCAGTAAAGGGTAGTCAAAACAAGAAACTTCAGAATAGGAAAAGCCAGCATGCTAGCAGTTAGAACTAAGGATGGCATTTACAACTTTACAACTCCAGGAATTAAGGTTTCTGAATAAAAAATAACTGAAATATTTTTAAAAGCTAGATACTGAAAATGTGTAAAAATAATAAATGAGAAAAATAATCTTAAAATGTAAATCAAAATTATGGATAGAGGTTATTGAGGAAAGAGGAAGTATTTGCTCATTCATAACAAGGAGTTAGTGTTTATTTTTTTATTTTTAGAGTTTGTGAATCAAGAAATAGAAGGTTAAAGATATGGTTAAAATTAACATAGATAACTTTTATGACAGTGTTTCTCAAGGGGTATTACATAGACAACCTACATAAGAGTCACCTGGGATGCTTCCTTAAAAGTAGGTTCTAACTTAGCCATCATACATAAAAATTTTTAGTGAGGAAAGCTGAGAAAATTGTGTTTTTTTCCCTCATATTTTTGTGGTTTACACTAAAGCATGTAAGCCTGAGGACATTTATGGCAGAAGAATCAAAAGCTGGCAATACATCTTACAAAAATCTTGCATAACCTAAAGGAAATAAAGTAAAGAAAGATAAAGATGATGTAGTTCAATCTAATGTCAGAAATAAGGATAAGGATGACTGAAAAGAAAATGTAGAGCAGAAATCAAGATGACAAAATTAAGACCAAGCTTATCTTTCTAAACTAGTTTATGTGTCAACCCACCTATCAAGAGAATAAGATTCTCAGATTGAATCAAGGCACTAACCCAGCAAAATGCGTTTTATTAGAGATTCGTCTAAAGTAAAGGTATTGGGAATCATTCTAATTAAAGTCACATGCAGAAACAAATG